GCTTGTTGAGCATGTGCATGAGTAAGAAAGAAATGTGGTTAGACATGTGTTCGTGGAAAGTGTGCCGTCCTGAGGCGTGTACTTCAACGTGGACGATGCCCGGTATTACCGGAAGACTGCCAGCCTGAGGCGTGTACTTCAACGCGGGATGTGCAGTAGGTGGTAGGTGTTGAGCCTGAGGCATGTACTTTAACGGCGGGCAAGAAACATGGCCTGAGGCGTGTACGTTAACGCGGGCCCTGAAGTGTTGTGATAAGTGGTCGCAGTGAACCTGAGGCGTGTACTGTAACGCGGGTCACTGGCAAGGAATGTGGAAAAGAGATAATGAGAATGTAATGAGTGCATGACATGAGATTTGCCCATGCTTGTGATCGTATGTGAAATGCCTGCTATGTGATGATTTAGTGTATATGCGATAGTGCTTTGTGATTGTCTGGAGGTACGTGATAGCCTAGGTGGGGTTTAGAGGTGTACTTACTGAGATGTAGTCTCATGGTTGTTTCAATCAATATTTTTTTCAGAACCCCGACCCGAGCCATGAATCCTCCGCCACCGCCACCTGAGCGTTTTGGGGTACCAGTGCACTCCGAGTATGAGGTTGTAGAATTTCCTATGGGTGATGGCATGACCTGGATTAAGCATACTACGATTGTTTTTGTAGAGGTAGGACTACCTTTATGGGAGACCCATGTCTATACTGCCTGGTTCTTCCGGGATGTAGCAGGGGATGAGTTCGGACCCGTTAGGGGTTTCGACGTTCCGTTTGACTTAGTTGGGGATTGGGACCCGTCTACCATACCCCCGATAGATGTAGAGTTGACCAATGCAGAGATTAGTTTAGCTCAGTCTGGTTTGCATCCAGCGCCCGCAACTCAATAACCTTCCGGGGCTGAGCACGAACCCGAGCCCGAGGTATCGCAAGCAGAAGACGACCCGATGGACATAGATTTGATCCAATTCCCGAGGAGGAACCAGAGGAGATAGAGCCCGAGAACGAGCCTGATGAGTCTGAAGAGTCCGAGGAGAATCCGGAGTATAAACTTCCATATGAGCAGTTTATGGATCCCAATTTCGTGCCTGAGGATAACTTCTTTGAAGGACCGGCTGAGGAAGATCAATTTGAAGTTCCATCCAAGTCGGGTGACATTAATCACCCGATTGAAATTGAGGCAGAGCCGGAGTCATCCGAGGAGCAAGCTGTTCAGGGGAATTCGGATTCGGATGGCGAGGAGTCGGACTCAGAGTGGACGCCGAATAAGGCGCGTAGGGGCTAGTATAGGTGTTGAGAATGGATTTTTGGAAGGGTACCATTTTTGGGGTTAGAATACCAGGTCATCGAACTCTTTTTGCTATAAGTGGCGGGTAGTACAGTGTGCCTATGTAAATGATGGCCGTAAATTGTGAATATTATGGTTTAAGTTTGAATGAGAAAAGAATATGTGTATTCTCCCTACTCTCCCCAGTTTTGATTGTCAGGGTTTTGTGATTTCCGCTGTTGAATTAAATCTCTGATAATTATAAGTGAGGTCGGCGATACCCTGGGATGTCGCACTATTTCGACCTAAGAGGGATGTTGCGTGCCAGATGGGGTTCGGGGCGTGACAATCATATTCTATTTTCGTTTCTTTATTTTGTTTTCCTAGACTAATTTAGTAGCTTGATGAACGGGTGATGGTGACGATGATTGATAGGGATAAGACTGGTTTTGTCTCAAAGTACAGCGCGATTAGGACTATCACGGGGGGAGATTTAAAATTAAGGTATGATCACAGATGGAGAGATTGACCATGTCATTTGCACTTAACTTTTTTTTCAATATTAATGAATACGGGGTTGCTTTCAAGGACTTTGGGACTTTTTGCCTCGAAATTCCAAAGACGTACGAGAAATGGAATTTGAGTGGGGATGCAGCTTCTTTGGATTGACAGTGCGTGGTCGAAACCCAATAATATGATAGGCCCAATATAATGTTTCGGATGTGAGCCCCTGTGGGTATTCTAAGTGACGAGGAAGATGGAAAAGTACCAAAAAAATTATAAACCTATTGTATTAGTATCAATTCATATATATATATATATATATATATATATATATCTTTTAATCGAATTAATTTAATCCTAAACCTTTTCACATTTGTACCAATTTAATCCATCCAGCCAATTTAGGCCGAAAATTCCTGACGTGGACGCCGGCCGTACTACGTGACATAATCGGCACTGACGTGGACAATTTTTAATATTTTTTTCCTTTTTCTTTTTTTTCCCGCTTTCTCCTTCCTTGGGCTCGTAGGGAAAAAAGGGAAAAAAAGAAAAAAGGAAAAAGGAAAAAAATATGAAAAATTCAAAAAAAGTACTAAAAATTATCTACGTCAGCTCCGGTCGTGCCACGTAAGATGGCTAGCATCAAAGTCAGCGATTTCCGGCTTAATTGGCCGGATGGACTGAATTGATACTAATGTGAAAAGGTTTATGACTAAATTAGTCAAACTGAAAGATTTAGGACGGAATTAGTGCTAATACAATAGGTTTATGACTTTTTTGGTACTTTTTCCCGATGAAGACTATTCTAGGTAGGTAAGTTCGGGGCTTATGAAATATCTTGCTAACATCGTGGGTCGAGTAAGATGCGAATCTGAATTTGGATGGACCGTAAGAAAAACATTGGATTGTTTAGGCACCATAGCGTGTGAAACCAAACGTGTGATGTGTGTATTATGTTTTACAGCACATCGATCGTATTACCGACCCGAGCGTCCCAAAATATTTTTTATACATTGGGTTCGCGAAATGTTAATCTCGAAAATAGAAGAAGCATGACATAGTTAGAGGGAACCATACTAACCACCTTCCCTTTGCAAAATCAAAATTAATCTCCAGAGTGTTTGGTGCAAGGATGATGGAGAGGGATTAGCAACAAATTACAAAGGTTTCGATGGTGTTATAGGAAGTGGTCGTGGCAACGAGTTACCGGTACCCTGCGTTTTGCTCCCCGTTTTGGACATGTCCATCATGTTTTGGACGCAGCTGGTATCAATTCTAGTAATAGGTTCGATATTCATGCCAACTGCTTCTTCATGTATGCTAACCCACTTCTATTACGTGTCTGTCCACGATCTCCATCACTTCTTTTAAGAATGAGGTTTGGCCAGAAAAAAAACTGTTCTCGCAAATTTTTTTGACTTTAACCTGTTTGGCATTAACCCAACCCCTTTTGCCACATGTATGCCGGCCACGTGTATGCCAACTGCCTATGCCACATGTTTGGTTATGAGAGATGATCGGTTTTAAGGTGGATCGATTCTCACCCTCAAACCGGGAACCGTACTGTCAGCAGGGACGATTCCTAGCTTCTAACATCGTGAACTGGCCCACATGATCCTGGAACAGGTGGTGATTTCTTTCTTTCTTTCATTCTTTCTTTTTCTATTCCATACAAGGAAGCTAAAATGTTTGAGATGTATGTATATATACAAAATGGGTGATTGATCGTATGCCCATGCCCAATCTCAATGTTTTGGCCCATTAAGATCGAAGGAAATTAGCCCTTGTTAATTCGAGGAAAGAAAAAACCTAAAGCCCACTCAGATCACAAAATAAAACAAACCCAAGAAGGAATCAAAATGGACACCCCCAAGAAAAAGGCCTAACGTTTCCCATTTCCCTTCGCTCCTTTTAGCTCGCGTGTCCATAGCGAATGGCTCGCCCGATTCCTTCTCTAGAGCTGGCATTTGCATGACGGGATCAGCTCTTGATCATGCACACGCGGAACCGACGGAGAAATTCTCTCCCTAGGGAGCGATTCCCTGGGGATTTCCACGTCTCCGGACGCTGTTCACCGCTGCTGTCATTCATTTTTAACGCCGTGCATTGGAGCTCAGCTCTGCTTTGTTTCTCGGCCGGGAACTTGTGAAGTGGCTTGGCTCGCCGGCGCCGATCCTCATCGCTGGTGCACTGAGGTTGGGAGTCATAGAATTTTTCGCCAGTCAGAATCGATAATCCATCTCAAGAAGGCGCAGCGCTGAAGGAAGGAAATTATTTTTGTTCCGGTTCACGGCTGCGAGAGAGCACAAGAGAGGAACGCTTGGGCACGAAATTTTTTCTCGTCGAACCAAGTGCGAGAGGCTTCGAGAACACACTGACCGACACTGAAATCCGCCATTTATGGTCGCTAGCATTCGCCGTGGACGATCGCCTTCCGCCGCTCGCCACCGGGGTTACAAATTTAGAGAAAGACATTCGTACGTACACATCCCTAAAGAGAGAGCCAACAGTCTTCTGGATCGAATATTCCCTTCGTTAAAAGCGTTCTTTATCGTTTCAGAACGCTCTTTGAGGCATAGAGCATTGCCGTCTTCAGTTTAGAAGACGGCAGTTGCAATGCTCTGTTTTGGCTCTGTTTCGCAGCCAAAAAGCCTAGAAGTAATTGGACTATGCTCGATCCCACTTCTGCAGCGTCAACCACGGGCGACGACGTCTTGGAAATTATGGTTCTCAGTTCAATCGGTGTTCCTGGTCATCTCATCTACCAGGTACGAGTATTCTTAATCTAATATAGCTAATCGAGTATGAGAAATGGGTTTGAGACTCATGCGAAATTCATCTCTAGTTAAAGTTTATCTATGTTTCAAATGTGTATTGACGTTGTCGTGATGACCTGGTAGCGATTCTTGGCCTGATATGTGGATAGAAGTTCATTAATTGAAGTGCATGCCACCTATTAGAGGAAATGTCTGATCAAAATCAGAATGCAGGTTCTCTGAAGGAAACAAGTTCAATAGCCATTTCTTCTAGTGTTTTACTTCTCGCATATGATTGGTGCATTTTCAAGTATGTATATGTCATTTTTCATGATTGAACCGAGAGCCATATCTTGTTAACCCGACTCATTAAAACCATATTGATTCTAGTCATGCATGAATCAATTCATGTTATTTTTTGATTTAATGATTGATGTGGAAACCGTATTTCGTAGTTCTCAAATTACCATGAACAAGACTGACCAATCGAGTTGTTGCTCATGTGGTTGATTCTTTTTTATATTCGATATGTTGACTACATATTTAATGAAAAGCAGCTTGCTAAAAAAACAAGTCTTGGAATTTGGAATGGAACAACTGAGTAGCTCATTAAAGGTCATCAAGCACATCGATAATGTCATTTGGCTGTCAAATATGAGGGAAAGGGAGGAAAATCTTGAGCATCTGGACACGCCAGACCAACCACTCATAGTAAATGAAAGTAACACCAATGATGAGATTCAAGAAGCTCCCGAAGAATTGATGGATGTCAGTTTGCTTTTCTCATCCTCTTGTATAGCTAGATTTTTAAATTTAACACGAGTTTCTCTTGCGGCTATACGCCCACTGATTGAGTGCCAATTGACTTACTTTGCAGGTATTAGAAGACACATGTAGTGATCCTGAGGTCGACCTTGGGTGACGTTTCATGCTCAGCATGGAGCAATCTCCTTGGTCCTGCTCGTCATCAAGGTCCTCTTCACGCTGGAATCCCCTCGTGGCTCATCATGTAGGGCCATCTGGGTGACGCAAAGCGCTTCCTTACCAGGACCTCCAACTCTAAGGAGGAGGCTGCGCTAACATAAAGCAGGCTGCCGACATCCCTAAGAAGTGCAATGAGGACGTTGTTAAGATCACCAAGCAGAGCACTGGAGAGGGCATTTGGAAGGATCTCATCCTCAACCTGACCCTATCCTTCCACAACGTGCTCATCGGAGAGCATTTGTTGAGGATTAATCGACTTAATGATATTATATTCGATTTATAGTATATATCAGTATATAGTTTTTGTAAGGTAATTTTTTATTTTTCTTTATTGTTCGTCTATCTCATATTTAGAATTTCACGATGATTGTCATTAGTATAATTTCAAGAAAATATAATATTTTCATACAAGCCGAACACGCAAAACCAGGATAGGAACCTTAGTCAATACGAATATCCCAAAAATTATAAAAGTTAAATTTCATGCAAAACATTGCTTACATGATACATTCAATAGGAATTTGTAGGCACTTTTCATAATCCATTAATTACCAAAAGGTCCATTTTGAAATAGACAATGTACCATAACAGTTCTTGCATTTCAGTTGGTAAGGTAAGCTTAGCATTTTCAAGAACATATGAATCCTTTAAAGTAAAGGGATGATATGCATGACGAACGTTCAACCCCATGCTGGCATTTGCTTCCTGCCATCGTCATATCCTCATTGGCCTCTCTCTCTGCCTCTCAAAAAAAATTGGGGGACACGATCTCATGCTATCAAAAAATAAGGAGGGATGTTCAATGAACGACAAATAAGGAGGGATGCCCAATAATCGACGAATAAGGAGTCTCACCCTTATTTGATTCACTAGAGATTACCTGATTCAAATTAAATGACCAAATTTGCTTGCTCTAGAGTTTCTTCTATTTGTGAAAAAAAGAGCTAGAGGAGGGTTTCTCTTATCCAACAAGGCAACCCTGTATGAGGCAGCTACCTCTGCCGGTGCTGCGAAGATGGAGAACCTGCCTTTGTGGGAGCAACTCCGGTGAAAGGAATGGTACAAAAACTCCAGAGGTCTCTCTTCTTGCTTCTTTCTCCTTAGTTGGCCAAGCTCCAATCCCTTTTTTTTTTCTTTTTTCCTTTATGGTTTTTTCTGTGCTCGACTTTTCGTCGCTAATTTCTCATAAAGATTCATACATTATTGCTGTTTTTCTCAAGAACTGTGATTTTGTTTTCGTTGTTGTTAGAATTAGTGTGATCGGGGTTACAGATGACACATCTTGGATATCTAAAGAACCCAAATAAGGGTTGAAGTTTACCTTGATTTTGAGTGGTTTTTGCCCGAAAATTCGACCTTGTCAGTGCGACTTTTTGATTTTGGCTCATTGGTGGGCCACCTTCGACCTTCTCAACACTTGATTCCATCGATGAAATGTTGAGTGGCGGAGGGTAGGTAAAGTTATTTTGTATTGTTAACTAGTGAGCTATTGCACATGCGACCCTGAAGTGAAATCAAAAGTCGGATATTATGATGATAAGTTTAAAGCTGGGCTGAAATTGCTCGTGATATTATGATGATAAGTTTAAAGCTGGGCGGAAATTGCAATTTGGGCAAAATACAGGTTGCTTAGTTTAGCCATGTTCCCTATATTAGTTAAAATTAATTCATTTATATGTCACTTTTAAGTAGTTAAGAATTTGAATTTCGGAATTAGTAGTTGAATTTTGGCAGTTTGGAGTGCTAGGATGCACGTGTGAATTGTGTTAGAGAAATCCCATATCAGTTGGTGTAAAGCAATTAATATTTCATAATCAGTCTATAACTCATTGACTTAAGCTTTCGAGTGAATGTATGTATAATTGGATATGTTAATAAGCTCAGACTTGAGCTCTCTCTTGGTAATCTCTCTAGGCGAAAGGTACTCAACTTCTGATAAGCGCTTCCAACAAATGGTATTAAAGCCGATGGTAGATTGATGGGCCCCCAATCTATTTAAGTTGAGATATCTTCATGCAGAAGGATATCTAGATTAAGGGGAAGTAAACCCAACACAGAGTTCACATGTAAGGGGGAGATTGTTAGAATTAGAGAAATCCCACATCAGAGAATTGGTGTGGTGTAGAGTAATTAATATATCCTAGTTGGTTAATAAATCATTGGCTTAAATTTTTGAGTGAATATAGGTTTAACTAGATATGTTAACAGGATCGAACTTGAGCTCTCTCTTGGCGATCTCCTCAGGCAAAAGGTATCAAGCGAAAGTTTTTTGAACAGCCGGCAGTGGTCCCACAAAATTTCACTTGGTATTAGAGCAGGAGGTCCTAAGTACAAATCTTTCCAAGCTCCTATTTACCTCACCAATTACGTATTTCCACGCTTAATACTAGATAAAAAAAGCTAGACTAAACGTGAGGGGGAGTGAGAGAATCATTAAATATTAAACTGCACATTCATCTAATAACTTTAGCATTTAGAAATGTTAATGTGTTATCACAAAATCTCACATGGTATCAAAATAGTAGGTCTTGAGTTCGAATATTTCCAAGCCTCTATTTGCCTCCCTAATTAAATATTTCCATACTTAATACTAGACAAATGTCGTGACCTCTCCCTAGGGCCCCTCGGAAGTGGTTTAGAGATATTGCTCGGAAGACGGTCCGAATGGTTCACCTAAAGATGGCAATCCAAGGGGTCCATCAATTAAGAGCGTGGGCCCTCCCAAGTATATACCTTGTGTGACATTAGATTTCGTTTTTTAATTCTTTAACACCCTAAGTATTTTCTAGGAGTCGTCACTAGCCATTTGGGGTCAGCTAGAAACCAATTGAGATGCGGTAGTGTCGTCTCAATTCCTACGCAACCAAAATTTCTAGGTCGAGGGACTTGATTATGCTAATATTTCTATTAATACCCTTTCGGTTCCTCTAACTTGAAGTGTCTTATCTAAGTGCTCATACAATCTTGATTTTGTCAATTATGATCCTAAAGGTATTAATCCACTAAGTGAGCATGCTGATATTCTTGTAGGGTTCAGTATGATTCTAAACTAATCCTAATAGCTCTTGAAAAGAAATTAACAATCAATTTTTTAAAAGATGGTGTGATAAGTAAACACCAAAGTAATTGAAAGCATATCTAAGTGCAAGAAAGGAAAACACAATACAAATTGGGCAAAAAATATACATGGCCTTATTTTTGAGCCTCGAGACATGATCTCTCGAAAGCTTGCTATTTGAAACTAGGGCGAACCTAAGTCTAACTAATTGATTAAGGAGGAGCAAAGGCTAGAGTAGCCTAATCATTTATTTAAAAGATGAGGCTAAGTCTAATTGGTTTTATTAGGCATAACCTATGCTAATTACTTAAACTAGCCTAATTAAGACTACACTAGTCTAAACTATTACAAAAGATTAAAGACCAGCATGGACATTGATTTGTCGCCACCATTTACTCACCGGAGAAGGTGCATGGCAAGATCTCCTCCTCCACCTGACCCCGTACGTTAGCCACACGCTCATCTGCACCATTGGGATCCACTTCTTCCAACAAGCCCTCAAGCGGTCCCGGGCTGTTCATCTATGTTTTTGCATTAATCTCATGTCATCTCACGTGTTTGCATTATGTTAAGCTCAATTCTTAGCGTCGTAACTCGTTTGTTATCTTCCGAGGTGCATTAGTTTATCTAGGTTGTAGTTTACTTCTACCGTGCATATCAATGAAGACGAAAAGAAAAATCAAAGTTGCATTTACGTAGAAATTGCATCATAGGAATAGGTCCAATTCAAGCTTAGACTCCATTTATTTTGTGATATTTCAACGTTTATAACACCTAGGAAATTGAGTTAACGCACTATCTTTTCATAGCCAACCGAAAACTTATATTTAAATTCAGGAAAACGATTTCCTTTTTAAAAGTCAGAAAACATTGACTTTTCATAATTTTTCGTTTTCCTTCTTGTAGGGTTGTTAGAATCGAACTGAGATACGAACCAAACCGAACCAAACCAAAAATTTCGTGCATTTCGATTCGGTTTCGATTCGAATAATCAAAATTAAACATTTTTTTTCAATTCGGTTTATTTTAGTTCGGTTCAATCCGATTGAACCGAGCTGAAATAAACACTTCGGTTTTAGCCCTAAAACTAAAAGCCCTATCTCGCCCTCGCGCTGCATCTGCCATCTCCTGCGTCGACTCAAAGCAAGAAGCCATCTCCTGCGTCGACTTAGGGCCCGTTTGGTTCGGCTTTTCAAATGCAACTTGGGGGAATGCAAATACCTTTAGGTAAAAGCCACTTGGGGAAATATAAGTGGTGTTTGGTAAAAAAAAAATTGTGAAGCTACTTTGGCCTAAGTAGTGTTTGGTAAAAAAATTTTTGCAAAGGGCTTTGGCAATTTTTATTCTTAATATTCCGGTTTTGCCCCTATTACTATTCATCTTCTTCACCGTGAGGGTGGCCGGCGACGGTGGCCGGCGAGGGCGGATCTGGCCGGCGAAGGCCCGGCGAGGTCGCCTGACCCAAGCGACGGCCGCCCTGGGTCGGGCGACGGCCCAGCGCTGTCGCTGGGTCGCGCGACCTCGCGACGGTCCGCCCGAGGTCGCGCGACCCAGCGACGGCCGCCCTGGGTCGCGCGACCTCAGCGACGGCCGCCCGAGGTCGCGCGACCCAGGCGACGGCCGCCTGGGTCGCGCGACTCCAGGCGACGGTCGCCCTCGAGGTCGCGCGACTCCAGGCGACCGCCGACCCAAGCGACGGCGCGCCGGACGGTCGCCCGACCTCAGCGACCGCCGACCCGGCGACGGCGCTTGGGCGGTCGCCCGAGACCCCAGGCGGCCGTCGCCTGGGTCAGGCGACCTCCGGCCCGGCCGGCCAAATCCGCCCTCGCCGGCCGTTCGCCGGCCACCCTCGCCGGCCACCCTCACGGTGAAGAAGATGAACAGTAACAGGGCAGAAAATTGAAATTTGAGTGAGGGCAATTTGGGAAGGAAAAATAGGCTTCAGCATTCCACAAATGCTGAAAGCCCAAAGCTAGTCCGGACCAACTTTGGGCTTTCAGCATTCCAATGGCATTCCAAACGCTGGTTTTCAGGTTTTCGGACTCGGAAAGCCGAACTAAACGGTTCAGCATTTTGGGAAGGGGCTTTCGAGGCCGAAAGCCCCTTCCCAAAGCTGAACCAAACGGGGCCTTAAAGCTTTTAGCTGTGTTCAAGATTCGGCTCTGTCATTGCTTTTGCTCCAGAGATTGAGCGATAAGTTCGTCGCTTCGTTCGTTGCTGCTTCTTGTTCTTTGTATTGTCTCTTGTTGTTCCCGAGTGTTTGATGAGGTTTTTGGGGCAAGGGGCTTGCGGATTGATTGAGTTCTTATTGGCATGATTTTGTTTCCTGAGATCAATTCTTGGAATTATGGAACCATTAGGTTGTAGTTGCTGTTCTTAACTTATTGTTACGTGCAAAGCTTCGAGTGAAGTTTCCGGTTGTGCACGTAAGGTGTTCGATGAAATGATGATGAGAAACCCATTTGACGTTAGGTGCATTTGCACTGAGTTGGAGTTGCATTTGCTATGTCTTCCAATACATCAGTTTTTGATAAGTTAGCGTGGGCATATTTGGAAGTAACTCGTTTTGGCAAATCTGATCCAAAACAGAAAACAAAGCCATGAATAAAAAGCAAAAAAATAAAAATAAAAGCAGAATAAGAAACCGAAAACTTATCCGGACCAAACCAAACCAATTTGATTTTTCAGTTCCTTGCCAATTCGGTTCGAGCGAGTTTCGGTTCGGTTCAAGGGGGCACCCTTAATGGTTCGGTCCGGTTTTTCAAGAAAACCGAACCGAACCGAACCGTTTATACCCCTACCTTCTTGGAATAGGCCAGGAGCAAGCAGCATGCACATCTCAGTTTCTTTTCTTGTGGTAGAGGAAGAAAATGGAAAGAAAGGAGCAAAAGTCGAGAGATAAAAGTAGAGGAATGAAACACAATAACCTTCCTCATTGCAGTTGAGAATTTGGAATCAAGAACCAGCAGGAAATATCAAGCACTCCCAACTACAGAAACATGAATTCCTTAGCCGGTTGTGTACTGGAAGCACTTCACTAGTTCCAGGCTGTCCTAGAAATTCACAAATGATTGACATCAACCGCTTCATCAAATCGAACATGGATATTTTCATGATCCATCACTCGAGCGATACCGCGCCAAACTTCTCATTGTTGACTTGGTGCCCGTGGCATGGGTGTATTCGATAGGAAGCTCTTGAACAAAGCATGTGCATGAGAGGGAAGATACATTGGGACTTCGTGTCCTGATCCCAAAACAGCAACGAATGTAAGCCCTTCGTATACCTCGATCCAACCTCCGAGCTGATCAGAAACCAAAGAGTCCTCTTTTAGTTTGCTGTGAATTACTGCGTGAAAGCTTTTCTTCAACTTGATTTGAATTGCACTTACCAGATTGTTATGGTTCCAGGGGTGCCATTTATTCTGTAGTTTGAGCTTAAGTGCCTCAATGTTGCGCCGAGTCGTTGACAAAGTAATGGCTATATCTGTAGTCCCGCTGCTCAAAAGTAAAGAAATAATCTGTGAAAAACAAATATTCGGTACTACTGATGTCTAAAAGAAAAAAAAGACTTCTTGATGATGAATTAGAATATGACATTCATTTTCATCGTTTAATGTTAATGCACTAATTCGACCAATTCAATACAATTTTGATTAAATGCATTGGAATGATTTTCTCTTTCCTTGATTCTAAATCTAATACGACTTACCTATATATCCAAATGCGCAAATGGGCCTCTACGAGTTCTTTTAGAACCGGCAACATCGATGATTCTGTGTCACTTTCTATGTAGCTGTTTTGAACCAGGTCACTGCATAAGCCAAACCACATGATTCATTGTTCTCCTGAAAATTTTCATGCCCTTGATTTGAGTGAAGTTCTTGTATCATGAACAATACCTGTCTAGAGTGTAGTTCACTGGAATATAGGAGGGGTCAATGTGGAAAGCTTCCTGCACCTCTCGCCTTCTCAAGTAATTAATAGTGTCATTATCCGAGTAATATCCAAACCCATCTCTGTACATCAAATCCTACTTGCAGAGAAAAACGAATGATAAGTATCAAAGTGCTGTCAGGCTTTCTTATCCGTTCATTTTCTAGCCTCTAAGAATAAATTCAGGAGCTCTCTCACCTGTATGGGGCTCGCAGATGGTCTCATATATAGGTTAAAATTGTTGACGTCTCCAATTTCATTCATAAATGCTTCATCCTAGGCTTTATTGCAGCCATCAGAATGTCTATCAACAACGCAAAAGTTCTGTATGTTTCGGTATGTAGTGTCTGACAGCAACCCGTGATTCCAAAAGCAATCAGCCATTCCCGGTTCTCCGGTTTCGTCGTCAAGAAGAGGGTTTCCTAGCTAAAAGATTTTACCCAAGAATAGCACTAGTTTAGTCCAGTTCAATGGTGAAAATGGATATGCTTTGACATGCTGATTCCACACTAATCATCTCACCAATATTCCCTTGAGATTGATGATTGGTCGCACGATCCCGTTGTTGTGATTTAGTATCAGTCGAGCGAGTTGAGGCACATAATGTCCTGGTGTTAGTGTTCATTATCGAACTCCTGAGTGACCTGAAATTACATTATAAATCAAATGGCCACAAAACACACGTACCTGCATAGCTCTCTCCTGCAACATAGAAGTCCCGGTATTTGTATTTTGGAAAGATTTCGAGCCATTTATTTAAAAATGTTCGACTGTCCATGGCTGAGATAGAAAGAATTAGAAATAACTTTGAGACTTCTTACAAGAAAGTATTGAGCAGAAGACACAAAATTTAAGCCAGGGTAACCAGATAGAGCAAGTCATAAGTCCCGACCGGTGCTATTATCTCCGATCGACTCAGCAACGTTGAGGATAGAAAATCCAGCTCCAGCAGGGGAATCAAGGAAGAGCAAATTGGCCTCTAGGAAAAAAGAAAACAACAAGATGTTATTATTCGATCTTCGTCTTAAATATGGGTTTCTTAGTGATGACGCATTGTTTACAAGTTTGAAACAAGTAACATTCATAATGATAAACATTGGTTCAAATACAAAAACAAAAATGGATCATTTAGTCCGCCGTCAAGAAAAAGTAGTTACTTTGGTCCAAAGTTATATCAGACAACGAGTTGACAGGATAAAGCTAACCGACTGATATACCGAAAATGTTCAGCCTCCATACTATAATCTGCACACTAATTTAGACCATATTCAACGCTAGTGTAAATTCTCAATTGAGTTTCGCCTGAGATAGAGGCGGGCCTAAAAATTTTCTTGAGTTTGGCTTTCCCTCATCAATAAAAACAAACAGCAACTCACATAAGGTAATAGCCATTCTAGACATTCAATGAACGAGTCTTTAGGAAGTTTTAATACACGAAGCGTTGCTGAAACAAAATTACCAGTGTTCCATGCAAATTGTCTCTTAGAAAGCTTCCCGTCGGGCAAGATCTGAAAGGGTCCGATCTCTTGAAAAGCCCCGTACCCGATTGTCGAGGCACCGGGTCCTCCATTGAGCCATAGGAGAAGAGGTTTAGACTCTGCATCTGATGACGCTTCAACCAACCAATAGAACAGCTTCTTCTTTTCGTTTATGGTCACATATCCTGAATACTGAGCAAAACTCGCGTCCGTAGGTTGTCCAGGTAATGTCGTGATCTTGGCATTTGCTGCTTCATCTTTTGAAGGTCTTGCAGCGATGGACGACACCAGTAAGTTCAACAAGAGAAGGCAAACGGTATTCGATGACGCTTCTTTTGCCATCTTTCAATTGTGTCTTGGTGGGGTTTCTTCTGAATGTTCTTGGAATCCTTCTCCTCTTATGCATCTGTGCATGTTTTGGTATTAACCAACCGACTGAAGAGATAAAGTTGTTTGCACGGTTTTGGGCAAATAACAGTAATTTGTTGCCTCTTGTTGGCAACAATACGTCATTCTTCTAGAGGTTTTGAGGGTTATAAGTTAAGATGTTTGTTTTACTAATGTCGAGCTTTTCTGAGCTGTAAGCACAAGGGATGGCTGAATTAGGGTTGTGCGAGTTAAGGGCAATAAGGCTCGAGACTGCGATGCAGAGTCTGTTACCAGTGAAAAGAAAAAAGAAAAGGAAAAGGAAAAGAATAAATAAATAAATTTGGAAAAATATTAAAAATTTTAAAAAATTATTCACGTCTGCACTGGTCGTGCCACGTAGGATGGCCAGCGTCCACGTCGGCAATTTCCGACCAAAATTGGTCTGATGGACTACATTGTCATATTGTCAAAATGTTTAGGACTAGATTTGCCATATTGAAAGGTTAAGAACTGAATTAGCACAAGCGTAATAGGTTAAAAACTTTTTGAAATTTTCTTAATTATTTCGACGTCACTAACTTCTAATAGGAAATAGGTCGCTGGTCAAAAAAATCGGAGCGATCCACTCAGCTATGACAAATCTATTAGCACCATGCCTGATTGAGTATCATAAAGCAATTGCCAAGAGATTTGGTGAGATTACTATTACTGATTTGCAGAGAAGAAAAAAAACTTGAGGATGAAAATTTCTCTTCAAATTCATATTCCTTAACCTTATTTTGTGCATTAAAATAAGTAAAACATTATCTCCTGCGTCCTAACTTTTATTTTTGTCTTCTATCAAAAAAAACTTTTATTTTTGTCAAGAAAAGGCATATGTCGTTATTTCATATTTTGATAAGCAATTGAGGAGAACATGTACTAGGACGGGATAATGAAAGAGAACCGGGGTAAGAAAAGTTGAGAATAATAATTAATTAATAACTATATGTGCCTCACTTCTTCTTTTTGGTGAAAAACATAGGTCTTTGACTGTCAACTTCGAAGTTTCCTCGTTATACTACTGAAATATCTTAAAATATTTTTTTATTATATCATTAGGATGGACAGAAAAATGGAAATAATGGTAGCGGGATTTAGTCAGGCAATGAGAATATTAATAGTACGAAAACGATATGCTAGAAGACCGATTTGGTCCTTCTTTCCCAATGAACGGTCCTCAATGAAGATCGAGTTTGAAATTGGCAAATTTGAAACCAGCTGGTCATTCCATAATTGATTAGACGATGACAGTGCAAAAAGGTACACGAACAAGACTTGAGGATGACTCAAAACTAAAATCAGACGGCACAAACTCAAATCAAACTCTAAAGTGTGACGGTCTGACAAAGAGAAAAGAAACATAAACTTGGACTAAATAAGCTGAATCTGACGATTTGGTTGAGTGGGTGTGCTTTTCTTCTTTCGTCCATGTATAATTATGAGCTTCTAGGATCTCACTTTTCACGTTTTAAGACTTGTCGTCCACGGTTTGGATGTGTCCCCACATTCTGGGCATGTCTCCCATGTTTTGGACGTGGCTGGTATTGATTTCTAGTAATAGGTTTGGTACTCCTGTCAGTCACTTCTCCGCGTATGCCGATCTACTTTTGTCATGTGTCTGGTATCACGCCCTCGCCCCAGCGACCTTCGCCGACGTGCTGGCGACCGGCAAAGGGAGCAGAGGAAAATTCGAAAAAAAAAAAGAATTTAAAAGATATTGCAAAAAGACGTCGTTTCGTCTACTTCAGCTGCCGGCCGACCATTGATCGTACCGCGTAGGATGGCTCTGGCCGGTGCTAATTGGACTGCAACATCAACGATTCCCGGCCAAATTAGTCGGATGGACTACATTAAAAGATAGTCAAAATTTTTATGATTAAATTGATCAAATTAAAAAGTTCAGAACAAAATTAGCGGCCGTACAATAGATTTATGCCTTTTTTTTAAATAATTTTTCCACTAAATTAATATTCCTCTCTGTCGGACGCAGTTTCTTCGGATCCACATGCGTTGTGAAAACCCAACTATATGATACCCTATTAATGTCATGGACCAAGTTAGACGCCTCCAAACTGTGACATTCCGAATTTCGACCCATTTTTGGGATTTATAGAACGTGTAATTCGTAAGTGTGCTTATAGTAAAATCTCGCCCGGGAACTGATCACTCTCGGTTATTTTTTTTAAAACTAGAGATTTCGCTAGAATCGCACTCGATCGAATTTGGCCGTTATTTAGAGCTCAAACTTTGGTTTCGAATTTCTCGGAGTTCTAGGACGAATTTAATTAGACGGTGTCGATATTATTGTGGCCAGTGTCGATATTTCCAGGAATAGTGAAAAAGTGAAATTTTGACCGAGTGCGAATTTGGACTAGTAGACCTTCCTCATAGTGTGTTTTAATTAATATCGTTTGGCCTTTTTCTTAAGTTATAAATTAGAGTTTTCGTGGGCCGTTAGATCGTTTTCAGATTTGAATCGTGGCCGTCAGATCGCACTTGATTGCGATATTTGACACACTCTCTCTCTCTCTCTCTCTCTCTCTCTCTCTCTCTCTCTCTCTCTCTCTCTCTCTCTCCCCTCCCTCGCTGCCGCGCATGTTTCCCCCCATGCACACGTCCCTCTGTGCACATTTTCCCCCTTCTGTAGGACTCTCTCTCTCATTTTTCTTCTTTCTTTTCTTCTTCCTCTCTCTTCTTCTTCTTCTTTTTCTTCGCTGGTCTTCCTTTCCGCCCCGACCGCTTCTGTTCCTGCTCCTGCTCGACCGCCCGAGCTCGTTGCCGCCCGACCGCCGTGCGGCGCCGCCGTCGCCAGCCAGCCCGACCGCTGCGCCGCGCCGTCCGCCCCGCCGCTCACCCCAAGCCCGACTGCCCTCTCCTCCCTCTCTCCCTCTCCTTCGCGCGAGGAGCAGCTCGCCACTGCGTCCACCACGGCCAAGCTCCGCCGAGCAGCCGGCCAGCTTATCCGACCTCGCCCTGCCGCCCATGACGCCACCGTGTCGCCTCCGGCCGCCACGCGACCTCCCCTTTTCCCCTTGTTTTTCTTCCCCGGCGCCTTCCCCTGTTTCGGGCCCCAGCTTCGCCGCCGCTGCGTACCGCCGTTCCTGCCGCCTCCGCCACCCGGCCTCTCCCCTCAGCCCTCCGCCGCCAAGCTGCCCCCTTGGCCACCACCACCTCCCTTTCCCCTACTTTTTCCTTCCTCCCTGACGCCTCCCCTGTTTTGAGCTCTCCCCGGCTCCGCCTCGTTCAGCTGCCTTTCCGGCCACCGCCGCTGCTCCGTCCGCCACCACCTCGCTCTCAGCAACCCTGCCCAGTCACCTGCAGCTGCCGTGCCCGCCTGGACAGCCCAACATCGCCCCAGCTCAGCCTTGGCCGGACTGTCCCGGTCGTGGCCGAGCCTCCGTCACCGCCGCCCTCGCCCTCGCCCTGGCCTGGCCTCTACCCAGGCCGTGGCCGAGCTGCTCAGCCACTTGCCCGTGGCCTAGCCGCTTGCCCGGCCGTGGCCGAGCCCGTTGCCCAAGCATCCCGGGCCTTGGCCGAGCTCGCCTAGCCCGCTGCCCAGCCGTGCCCGAGTCGTCCCAGCCGCTGCACGTCTCCGTCGTGCCCGTGCTCGTGCCCGCGTGCTTGCCCACACGCCCGGTCGTGGCCGAGAGCCCCGGGCCGTGGCCGAGGGTGTGCCGAGCCGTGGCCGGCCACCGTGCCCGTTGCGCCCTCGCTCGTGCCGAGTCACCGCCGCTCCGACCGGGCCATTTCAGGCCATAGTGGATTTTTCCCTGGCCAAATTTAAGTAAGCGACTCCCTAAACCCTACCTAGTACATTAGGTATTATTAGACTTGTCTAGGGGTTAATTAGTACCGGTTTAAGGATTGAACTTGGGGTAGAATTGCTAGTTGGATGTGGCTTGTAGTGGATTATATTGTTATATACATCGAGTGGCTGATTGAGATGGATTAGCTGGTCATCGTGGCGTTTGTGAGTGGAATTGATATTTGATTGTGACCGACTTGAATGTCGGGTTGGTGAGATAATGTGGTGAGTATGACTTGAATTTGAATTGTACGACTTGTGAGAATGGCGAATTGTGTGGTGGCGTGTGTGCTTGGAAGGAAAGTTGGACCTGAAGCGTGTTTACGCGGGTCATTGGACAAAGCCCGGATTGATCGGAGGACTGCTAGCCTGAGGCGTGTTTACGCGGGCTGTGAAAGGAAGGTTAGACTTGAGGGGTGTTTACGCGGGTCATTGGTAGATGTTGAGCCTGAGGCGTATTTACGCGGGCTGTAAGAATAGACCTGAGGCGTATTTACGCGGGTCGTGTGAATGGACTTAAGGCGTGTTTACGTGGGTCGTGTGATTGGGCTTGAGGCGTGTTTATGCGAGCTGTGAGAATGGACCTAAGGCGTGTTTACGCGGGTCGTGTGAATAGACCTGATGCGTGTTTACGCGGGTCGTGTGAATAGACCTGATGCGTGTTTACGCGGATCGTGTGATTGGGCTTGAGGCGTGTTTACGCGGGTCGTGTGAATAGACCTGATGCGTGTTTACGCGGGTCGTGTGATTGGGCTTGAGGCGTGTTTACGGGGGTCGTGTGATTGGGCTTGAGGCATGTTTACGCGGGCTGTGAGAATGGACCTGAGGCATGTTTACGCGGGTCGTGTGATTGGGCTTGAGGCATGTTTACGCGTGCTGTGAGAATGGACCTGAGGCATGTTTACACGGGTCGTGTGATTAGGCCTGAGGCGTGTTTACACGGGCTGTGAGAATGGACCTGAGGCTTGTTTGCGCGGGTCGTGTGATTGGGCATGGGGCGTGTTTACGCGGGCTGTGAGAATGGACCTGAGGCTTGTTTGCGCGGGTCGTGTGATTGGGCATGGGGCGTGTTTACGCGGGCTGTGAGAATGGACCTGAGGCGTGTTTGCGCGGGTCGTGTGATTGG